AGTACCTCAATGTCCTTCTTGTAGTGAGGGGCCCAAAACTGAACACAGTATTCGAGGTGCGGCCTCACCAGTGCCGAGTACAGAGGGACAATCACTTCCCTCCTCCTGCTGGCCACAGTATTTATTTCTGATACAAGCCATATATATATATATATATAAATATTCTGATATAATGCACCTCACCCTCCCAAACCTAGATGTGGCCTAGAGCAAGAATGATCTCCACAATCCCCAACGACTGCAATCTCTAACACTTTTTCTGTGAAGATACAGAACTGCAGTTTGCAACAGCGAAAGTGCTTCTTGTAAATCATAGCGTTTCTTTCACCTACTTTATTCAATTCCATTTATCTTGTCTATCTTCACCATTTACTCTTGATACCCATGCCTCTTACAGCTACTTTCTCTGCCCCCATTTTAGAAGCAAAATCCTCTTGGCACAATTGGTATTTTACTGCAGCATTACTATTTGTCAATAACTATACTTAATAGACATTCAGAATTCAGTAAGCACTGTAAAATTGTTCTTTCCATTCCCACCATTCATACTTCATTGAATTCATGAAAGAGAGGGGAAAAAAAAAAATCTTAAAAAGTAATCAAGTTCCATATTACAATGTTCCCTACCTACATTTGAAAACAATCTGAAAGCAGAAATTTTCTGAAACAGAAAGTTCTCAAAAACTCTAAAATCAGAGATGCTCAAACTGTACTACATGTTTACTGAGCACTCCAATGAAAGCATTAATAAATTTATTTTATATTAAAAAAATTGAACTGATTGTCTTTTGGGGCATATTCAGAGTAAGGTTTCTATTTCAGTTCATGTTTACATCCTAAGGCTATCACAGAATTCAGAGAATTATTATTACTGTACTAAAATCTTTCAGTTCTGCAGCATAAAGTTTAGATTTTATTTGTATACAAGTATAACTGATTTACTAACAACCTATAAATCTCAGCAAAATTAGGTAATTTTCTTGATGTTTCTCTCATTACTTCACAACCAAAAGTTAGTTAAAGGCACTGTAACTGTCAGCATCTCACAATCAAGTTCAAAGTCTAGCAACATATTTGCTTTTTTCCCAGCCCTTCACATTCCAGGTACAGAGTTGGGGAATTTTATTCATTAGCCCTCCAAATACCAGTAAGAACACAAACACACAAAAAAAAGTATGTATATGATTTATCAAAAAAGGAAAATCATACTAGTCAGTAAGTATTAATTATGGAATAATAAACAGAAAGAAACTTTAACCCTCACCCCCACATTTTGTACGACTTCATGGCATGGTGCTAGTAGATCCTCAATTACAGTCACTGTAGGTTCCTAAGTGACAGCACTATGAATTACCTTCTCTGAGCAGCAATACTTTTATAAATTATCTTCTCTGAACAACAGAGAAAATACAGACACAGGAAGCAAAGCTTCTGTTTCTTCATTTTAATGGTATTATTGAAAACATTGTAGAATCTGTCCTGCAACAGCTCTTGATCCAACATATTCTGCAAATATCTTGGCATAGATAAACTTGAGAGGAACAAGATGAAGTTGGGACAATCAAGTGGATCTTTCTGCTGTCAGTTTGAAGAACTACTTTATCTGTTTTCTTTCCAAATAGCTTTACCCAGAACTCTTTAAGGAACTCACTGTTCAGTTACAGATATGGGCATAGGAATAAGTTACAATGAGGTAACCTAGAAGTATGACTTCGAGGAACTTCCGCTACTCAGTGGTAACCAAACGTATGTTCTTCCTCTATAACAGAGACTATCCTACCCCTCAGTGAAGGTGGAGAAAGTAAACTGCATTTACAATGGAGCAGAAACATACGCAATGACTACAGAGTAACTGAGAGGCTACAAGACCACAACCTTAGCTTACCTTTCAGTAACTTGTCCATACCCTATGGTTCTTCTCCTATTCTCTAGCCTGGAGAACATCTTTTATAACTGCAATTCATTACACATCTTTCCCACAGTTCTGCAAAGGAACTAGCGAGATATGCAGTATGAAGACCTCCATCAAAACCATAAAATTTTCAAAAGAGTATCCAAGCAGACCAGTACAAGGAACACGTGCAGGGCTTCCAATGTCCCTGGAACAGCTGAAGCTGCATCCTAGTGACGCCACACATCAAAGTTTCTGTCAGTTTTTTAGAAAAAGATCAGAGCACTTTCCGACATTTCTGATTTCTGCTGCAACACAGGGAGACCAGACCGATGCAGATATTCTGCAGGGGCTTCTACAGTCTCCTTTACTTGGTTACTTCTTCTTAACAAGGCCATAGTTAGCGAGACATAAGAGGACAAAAGCTTTCTTTTGGAAGATAAAGTTTTGTTGGATTGAAGCAAGAGGTAGAAGAATTAGAACAAAGTTTAGGTTTTTTGCCTTCCCCTATTCAATCTCTTGCTTCTTCAGAGATCTAGTAATGGCTGATAACAGCAATTAAAGAGCATTAGATCAATATTTGCTGGAACTCACCTTCCTACTCCTGGTTGGAATCAGCCACCACAGTTGATGATCGGTATAAACCAACACAAACAGAAATTACAGTCCTGCCTCTCTCTCCCCGTCTGCCAAAAGCTTGCTTTCAGGCCAGTGTCATTCCCTCCTCTGTGCTGGTAGAAGTGCTCGTGCAGTTACATGGTGAATCAGATTGTGGAATTGATATGGATTAAAACTAACACCCTCCCTTCTCCTCCCTTGCCACTTTTGTTTTTACTGGGTTATTTCTATGACTTGGTTCACCAAGTGGCCACACAAATGCTTGTGCAGGCACAAAGAAAAGGTAGGAGCGAGCAGCTAAGGGAATCTGGCAAATTTGATTGAACATAATATGATCACAACTACAGACGACAGCTTCTCTACAGGCAATAAAGAGGTAAAGTAGTTTCTTTCTCAGAGATTTGCTATCATCCTTCCTCTAGCTCCTAGATTTTACAGACTAAGTACATTAGAACAGAAAGAGATCAAACAACCGAGAGATACTTCCATTTCGCCTCTTTCATATTGGCATTTGGACCTGAACTGAGAGATTATCTTGACTCTGAGATGGTACAGATTTTGACATTGATGGCTTCTTCTCTCTCTCAAGCTGCTTTAACTCTAGGTTGCTTTTTCTGAAAAGGTCTTCTGCAGTGTGCTTTCCCTTTGCAAACATCTTGGAACCAGCCCTTTGAAGGCTGAATCCTCAAGCAGCGCTTGAGAAGAAACTTCCTGTAACTTCAACTCAAGAAAAGGTGAAAAATAAAGAAGTGAAGGCCACCCCACAAACATATTGCACAAACATATCACATATCAGAGAACACCATAATTTAAATAAGCACTCATATGGATGGTGAACAGGTTGGTGAGAACTAACACTACCCACGGACTGTAGCAGCTGTCAGCAATACTCATGAACTAGTAGAAATTGGCACAGCAGCCTAGATACAAAGACAAAGGCCAGAGCCAGCACTATAACCCATGGCCTACCAGTAACTCAAGATAAAAAAGTGTTCCAAACAATGCTTCTATTACTGGCACTACTCTACATTTCAAAATTCCCAAACACCCATGTTTTAGGTTGTAGCACAACTTCTTAGAGGACAATCTGCATGGTATTCTGCAATTTAAAGTCCTCCCAGAAACAGAAGTCTATATAAACACACACACACTCATGAAAAGCACCACACCACAGAACGGATATGATAGCGCGAAGGAACTGCAGACTTTTTATCAGTTTAGAGCCATCTGTGTCGGGCCAATACCCAGCATTAGCCCTGAGAGACATGAATTGTGCAGCACCCCTGCCTCATCTACCCCTTGGAGTCTTCAGTCTTTTTAAGTGTCTCATCTTTTTAGATACAAAGCTAGAGGAACAAAGTCATTTAGTCAAAGAATAACTTGAACACAACGAACCGTTAACCCAACTTAGCTCACTTACAGTTGTTTTCCTCACACAGAAGCTTCCAACTTTGATAGGCCAGCCTTACGCTCAACTGTATGGTAGTCAGCAGTATTTAAATCATTGCTTGAAAAAATGATACAAAGACAGCAGATTATTTTCCAACAGGCAGATGTTAAGCCCTGCTTTCCTTGCAACTCTTCCATAGTTTAGGATGGTACCAGAAAGGTCTCTCCTTCCATTATCTCCAGCTTTCATCTGGTACAAGGATCATACTGCACAGTTCACCAGTGCACGGA